AGTTATTTTAAAGTTAAATAAAATTATAATATATTAAAATGATAAAATCTTTTTTTGTTTCAGGTATTTTTTTTTTTTTTTACAATAACCCTGTTACAGAACAGCAGATTATATTTTTGTTTGACAGGTTAATCGAACTATTTCAAATAAATAAATAAATATATATATATATATATATATATATATTACAAAATGCTCTGTTTTGGCCCAGTCTATTTCTCCCCAGGGAAAATCAACCCAGTCACATAAGATAACATAATGTTTTGCAAGGTGGTAATGTTTGTGAATTCACGTTGTGATTCATACAGAAATATAGCTACAATGTTTAGAAAATACAAGTATGAAGGTCCAAAAACATAAAATAGTTAACGAATTGACAAGAGAGTGTGTTGGGTGTGCAACCTGCGTGTGATTTAGTGTTCATTCAAGTATCTTTGATTTGATATAATCCTAAAATTCTTAGTTAAAAATAAAAATAGACAATGTGCAATGTTTTCAGATCTCTGATTTTGACTTATATTCAGTGAAATAAATATTAAAATGCAAAACGTAAGTGCTTTTAAGGAAACGTATTACATTCAAAGTTAATTAAGAAAGCTCTAAAACCATTTTGCAAGTCACTGTACACATGCTCAGATCAAATTAAATAATGTCTCAGACAAGTTTAGCAAGTGTGAATATTTGTTTACCTACTTCAACTTGCTGCAAATGATCATGGTGTGCTGACCGTGCACGCATGGAATCAAACAAGAGCTCATGTGGCATTAGTTAGACTACACCATTTTGATTTGCAGTAATACTGTGTTTGTGTCTAGACTAGAAGAGTTTTACACTGCTCTTGGTCTGTTTCCACAATTCACAGCTGAACTAAACATGTGAAACATGAGAAATATAAATTTTCGAAGCAATGTGTTATTATGACTCCTTGTTTCAGTGTACACAATGTTTAGTCTAAGTCAGTGGTTCTCAATTCCAGTCCTCGCCACAATTCACAGCTGAACTAAACATGTGAAACATGAGAAATATACATTTTCGAAGCAATGTGTTATTATGACTCCTTGTTTCAGTGTACACAATGTTTAGTCTAAGTCAGTGGTTCTCAATTCCAGTCCTCACGTACCACTGCTCTGCATAATTTGCATGTCTCTCTTATTTAATACATCTGATTCAGATAACCAGCTCGTTAGAAGACAGCTCTATGCATGAACTGTGTTCCAATTGACATGGTCCCTACACAGTTTCATCGCTCCCTACTCCCCAAGCACGGGAAATCCACTTAAGTTGACTTAACTTCGGAACATTCATTCACGGATTTGCGCTACGCCACGGCCTGCAGAGTCTTCACACACATAATATACCTCTAAATAAATACCATTTAAATTCATATCTTGCACACTTTAATGCCCTTGAATGGAACAAATACGCTCCCTTCAAACTGGAATCATGGCAGAATATGGTCTAATAGAACAAACGTCTGAAGTGATAAGAGAAACATACAAAATGTGCAGAGCTGGGGGGGGTCGCAAGGACTGGAATTGAGAACCACTGGTCTAAGTATATCTGTCATGTGAGCTCTTCAATGGTAGATCATATCATGGTATATATAAATATAATCATGGTAGTAACCTAGTATTTTTTTTAAATACCTTGGAGTGCTGTTCTCTATGTATAAGTAGGCTGTCGGTGTATTACTATTCAGTATACTGCACTTTTTTGTACGGCGAGACTACTGTAAACAACTTCTCAGCTCCATGTTTAGTATAGCATACTAGCATAGCACTCTTACTATTTCTGTAGTATATAGTACTGTATGTGATACTGTGCACAGTATATGATTTTGTGTAGCTACATTCCCAGATGATCTTATATTTGCCAAAATAAGCATACAAAAATGCATACGTACAACACGTGATATTGCATCCTAACACACAATGAAATGTGCGCTGAACAAAATCAAAAATGCATAGTAACCATTTTTACCTACAAGATTACAACTGGATGCTATAATGAGGTGATAGGACAAATACTGAAATGTGATTAACTTTCCATTTTCTGTGTGAGAAAGAAAAAACATTTTTTGAGTTATTATTTGACTTGACTGCCAAAATTAGACAGTTATTTACACAAAACTGAAAATACAATGTAAAAATAATAACTGGGCCCACTCATAAGCTATAACATGATACGGTCATGTTGTTAGCAGGAGATACCATTAGCATGAACCTACTGGTTTACTTGCTGTTTTTAAAGGGTCAAGAAACCCCAGACTACTTTTTCTGAGATTTTAGCAGAGGTGTTTGTGTGGCACATCATAGAAGACAATGTTAGCATCCGATAATTTTAACTATCGGAGAAAACGGGTTAATTTTAAGCTTTTTTGCGCTATTTTCATCTTCCGGGTTTAAAATCTACATCGTGTTGACGTCACAATGTGTGACATGGCAATGGACTATAGTACATCGATGACGCGTAGGTGTCTATTAAATTATTCATGAGACTGCGTGTTCTTATCCTATGAGAAGAGGCTTCGCTTAATTATTCACAGCAGCATGTGTTGATTTGCTATGACAGACGCTTCAGACTGTGATATCGCTTACATTATCTGAGAGAAACGTTCATGAATAGAAGGTGAGTGTTTGTTTTGCTTTGCAATAAGAGTTCGGCACAAACACGATTCATTTACTTAGTGAGTATAACCGTTTTTACAGCTCCATGACACACAACCCGTCAAAAGGCTTAAATAATCACTGCAGAATAAGCCTTAAAAAGTTATCAGAGGTGCAACAGCACGTTCATGTATGTTTTCGATACAGATGTCACGGAAAGATGGCTGTGCATTTATTTGTGTTTTTAACTCGATGGGAGCGAAATGAAACTGTCTGAACCCGAAGCTGTGTGTGTTGTTTGTCTGTCTCCCCTCTTCAACAAATAAAACCCTCTCTGTCTCCCCTCCTCAATTTTCGATGCAGAGTGCAAATGGCTGTGCATTTATTTGTGTTTTTAACTCGATGGGAGCGAAATGAAACTGCCTGAACACGAAGCTGTGTGTGCTGTCTGTCTCCCCTCTAAACCCCCTCTGCTCGCAGCGCCCCACGCCCACTTTTTTAGCATTTTTTAAAAACTGGTGAGAACTAACCATAGACTGTATAAAAACATGGAGGTAGTGTCCGTGACGTCACCCGTAGATTTCCGAAGAGTCACCGCGCGTCACTCCCGGATAATCCTTTTGCAGCCAGCCTCTAGCGGCCAGTCGATGAATTACAGTTTAAGTCACTTCCTTGTTGGCTTCACGAGAGAGCGCGGGAAGTTGCCGCTTGGAACTAACCAGTGCTGAAACAGGGGGTTTCATGACGCTTTAAAACAGGGCTGTCCAAACTCGGTCCTGGAGGGCCGGTGTCCTGCAGAGTTTAGCTCCAACTTGCCTCAACACACTT